CTATAATTTGAACAATCTTGCTAGAGGTTCACTACACAATGCTTCATGCAAAATATCTAACCTCTAGCATTTGTCAATTGCTAGAAGAAATTTTTTAAAGTTTTTACTGTAAGTTTTTACAATATACATATAAAGAAAACCAATGACCCCAGGGGCGGGCCGATTTTGACCCCAGACTATAATTTGAAAAATCTTGCTTGAGGTTCACTACTCAATGCCTTATGCAAAATATCTAAGCTCTAGGCCTTTTGGGTCTTTACAAGAAGGTATTTTAAGTTTTTACTATATGTACATATAGTGAAATTCAATGACCCCCGGGCGGGGCCGATTTTAACCCCAGGGCTATAATTTGAACAATCTTGGTAAAGGTCTACAAGACAATGCCTTATGCAAAATATCTAAGCTCTGGGCCTTTTGGGTCTTTACAAGAAGGTATTTTAAGTTTTTACTATATGTACATATAGTGAAAACCAATGACCCCCGGGGCGGGGCCGATTTTGACCCCAGGGCTATAATTTGAACAATCTTGGTAGAGGTCTACCAGGCAACGCCTTATGCAAAATATCTAAGCTCTAGGCCTTTTGGGTCTTTATAAGAAGATTTTTTAAATTTATTCTTATAATTCCTTTTGGTTGCCTTGGCAACCAGATTTCTGCATGGAATGAAATTCTTTGAACAACTTTGGAAGCCCTTCACCCAAGGATCAATCCTGCCAAGTTTGGTTGAAATTGGACAAGTGGTTTTTCACAAGAAGATTTTTTAAGTTCACTATATAATCTATATAACACACACACACACAAACAAACACACACACACACACACACAGGTGAATCGCTATATGCCACCGCATCGCAGATGCTGCGGTGGCATAAAAACAAAGGGCCATAATTAGGTCAAATATTATACAATCACAAAACCCTGACAATATCCACCAAGGCACTTGATGACACAGTCTCTGTGAAAGTTTGGTCAAATTCCATTGAGAAATGTAGGAGGAGTTGCGCACAGAAAATTGTTCACTTTATATCCTATATTGGGAAAAAAAAACAATAATTAGGTCAAATATTATCCAATCACAAAACCCCGACAATATGCACCAGGGCACTTGAGTACAAAGCCTCTGTGAAAGTTTGGTCAAAATCCATTGAGAAATGTAGGAACAGTTGGGCACAGAAGAAATTATTCACTATATATTCTATATAAGGAAAAAAAACAAAGGGCCATAATTAGGTCAAATATTATCCAATTACAAAACCCCGACAATATGCGCCAGGTCACTTGATGACAAAGCTTCTGTGAAAGTTTGGTCAAAATCCGTTGAAAAATGTAGGAGGAGTTGCGCACAGAATAAATTGTTTACGCCCACCTGCCCGCCCATCCGCCGACATACCTCAATCTAATAACCAGTTTTTTCCTTCGGAAAACCTGGTTAAAAATCCAACTTGCCGTTCTAGGTTAACCTCGTACGGACAGACGGACGGACGGTTCAATTACTATATGCCCGGGGGCATAAAAATATCCGTAATCAAAACTTAAACAGTTTAAAGTTCACTAAAACAGTGTAGTCTGCTTGAAAACAGTAAATGTTGAAAACACAAAACAGTAAACATATTTACAGCACACCCAATTGATATAGCTTTGCACAGATCTGGTAGTAGGCCTGTTGACACATTGTAAATTAGGAAAGTAGCATTGATAAGGTCAGATTGTTGGCAAGATCAAAGGTGTCAACTGCAAGTAGGATCTTGGGGAATATTTGGGAGAAAAATTAGAGAGAGCTCACGGTGTTGATCAAAGGTATCATGGGTTGACAGGGTGATGATGTGTTTGTTGATTTTTTTACATCGGTTGAAGAAAGAATTTTTTTTTTTATCTTTATTAAGCGCCCGGGGCGTTAAATCAGGATTTTACGGTATTACAATAGTTTATAACCTGTAATGGGAAAACAATTTTATTTGTCCTATCTTAATTTAATTTATTTTGTATTAAAACATAGGGGGTATCTTCAGTGTTTACTTATAAGAATCAAGGAAGGTATAAGGTTGTTAAAAGGTTTTCATTTCACAATATTAAGCACCTTTTTAAACCTTTAAGTTATACAATTTCTTATGCAATACATATACACTGTATTTGGGTACAACATGCATATCAAAGCTGTCAATTACCACTCCTAAATTTACCTATCTTAAGTGAGTTACAAATTATTATATAGCATAGTTGTTCATAGAAAAATGATTTTGTAGTCTACATAATGACTTTCCTATGTTTGATGACAAATTTTCTTTGTCCAGATCGATTAAAAATCAAACTAAGTTTCATAAGTTTTTTTAAGTGGTTTAAGTTTCATAAGTTTTTTAAGTGGTTTAAAACATAAAGAACAATTCAAAATGAACTTTTAGCACATTCTGTAAGACAGAGTACACGGGGGAGGAAGTGTTACATGAAGGATGGAGTTCTTATGATAACTTGTTCAGGAGAACTTATAATAACTTGTTCAGGAGTTCTTGTGATAACTGTCGAGGAGTTTGTCGGAAAACATCTGTATATTCTACAAAAACATTCGTTAAAAATGGTTATTTTCATCTTTCAAAAATGAGTTTTAGGTGCTAAATTAAACTTTAATAATTAAGCTTGTCTTACATCTTGTATTATGTGTCAAAAACTAATTCACAGGCCATTTTTAATTGTCTCTTGCTATAAATCTGGTAGTTTTCAGTAAAATTTCCAAATTATTTGCCGATTCACAAGTATTGACCTGTTCATTTCTGTTCTTCATCCTTGCCATACATAATTACCTAATTATAATGCAAAATTGCAAACATAAAGCACCGGGTAACAGATTTATACCTGATTTTTCAAATGTCCCGGAGTTCTTGTGATAACTCTGAAGATGTCATAGAGTTCTTATGATAACTTTTGTTATTGCCAGTGTGTTTCTTGCGCTAAATCACGGCACGTTTTAGTGTTTTTTATTATTCAATGAGACCGTAAATCATTATAAAATATAATACGCTCATCCTTTGCGCAAAAATTGGATATATAATGTTGGTTTTGAGTGAATTTTAGTTCAAGAGATATTATTTCTTTCCCCCCGTTTCTTTTTCATTTTTGTTTGACGCAGATTTCGTAGACTGGCAAAAGGATTTATGTACTGGTTTCCTAGCAGTTTCCGGCTCCTAGCAGTAATCTGGCCCTTTATCATTTTCATCCAGGCATACAGTCTATTTTTTCTCAGTTAAGCATCTATGTTACTGCATCAATCAGAGAAACATTTGTTTTCTATCTAAAACAGCAGTTGTAATAGTACAGCGATTAATATGTTTCAAAGTTTTGTCTGTTGTTTTAAGTTACATTAGAGAACTTGCGACACTTACAAGCAACACCTGGGGAATTCTAGTTTGAATGCCCATGCATAATAACTGAAATCCCATTCTAGGTAAATCACTACTTACTAAACAATATATTTGCAGACGACACGGAAAAGTTTGAAAAACCTAGCTTTACATTGCTTATTGGTACTGAATTATATTCAAAATAAAAAAGGTCCGAAAAACTGCTATGAAATTTTGAATAAATGTGAGCAAAGGTGTTAAATCTCAGGCCTTTATTCCATTAAAATGTAAAATAAAAGAGCAACATTAAAACATGGTAATGCTAGACAGGTACCTAACTTTGTTCTGTCAAAGTTTGCAGTCTTCGGTGGACAGATTTTTATTTTATTTGTTAAAAAGTGCGATTTGGAGCCGGAAACTGCTATGAAACCAGTAGAGCATAAAATTTTATGTACGTGATAAAATGCACTTTGAAATACTGAAATATGGTATTTTCATGTATATTTTTCTGTCGATGTTTGATAAGTATTTCCCCTATGTAATCTTAGTGGAGGAAACTCTGCTACTTTTGCAAAAATATATAGTCAAACTTAGTTCGCTCGAACCTTGAGGGACAGTTCAAATTTGTGTAAGAGCCAACCGCAGTAGAGTTCTTATCATGTATCGTACTTTTTTAAGACATATGTGTGAAAATTATCCTGGTTATATACTTATTTATTATTGTATAAAATGATACAAATTATTTAGCCCTTAGGTAAGGGAAGCATGCCTATATATTGTCTGCTTAAGAAAGGTAGTTGCTTAAAACATGTGAAGCTGAGAACAACCTGCAGTTTTGAGACATTTTTGTTTTGTGGTTTAAGCCATTATACGGCTGAATATCAGTGGCTGCTGGTTCAATGATAGCCTATCACCTATTTATCCTTTGCAGACACTTAAAACCAACCTATTATCCACATTTTTGTGCAAAGGATGATGTACAGCATTTCATAATGATTTACAACCTTATTGAATGATAATAAATGCCAAAATGTGCCGTGATTTAGTGCAAGAAACACACTGGCAATAACAAAAGTTATCATAAGAACTCTGTGACATCTTCAGAGTTATCACAAGACAAGCTTAATCATTAAAGTTTAATTTAGCACCTAAAACTCATTTTTGAACGATGAAAATAACCATATTTGACGAGTTTTTTTGTAGTATATACAGATGTTTTTTACAACGAACTTCGTGACAGTTATCAAAAGAACTCCTGAACAAGTTATCATAAGATCTCCATCCTTTGTGGAACACTTCCTCCCCCTTGGAGTAAAAAGAGAATCATTTCCCTGCTTTAATTATGAAATTAATTTGTACAAGTGTTGATGTTTAATATTGGTTTTGATATCAAAATACTTAATAAACAGCTGACCTCAGTTGCACCTTTTTACATTTATTCAATCACAAGACGGCACCTGAATTAAGAACCACAAACCCCCTTAAGCTTGCTGGATAGTTACGTCACATGCAAGGAATTCAAAGACCCTGACAGCATTCTAACCCACAGCGGTGAGTGGCAGGAGATTTGAAGTTAATGACCTTAACCACTCCCCCTCATAGGCCCCCGCTTTAGTCTAGCTGTTGGTGGCGTAGATAAATCATCATTTAAGCAGTCAATAGACCTACCTTATCCATGCTAGCTGCATTGAGACGCATGATGGAAGCATGAGCTAGTCTGTCAAATACTGTCCGCAGTGCCTTCTTGGAATATAATGGTTGAGGTTTAAACAATTCTTCCACAAACCTTTTGTGAAACATAGTTGAAACAATATCATGAAGCACTGAAATATATGTAAATAAATGCTAATTAATACAGGAACTTTTCATTCAAAGCTGATTTAGTATTTGCTCTACTTTTTCGTCCAATGACAATGCCTAAATTAAAAATTTTCTGCCCATAAACTATCCTCAATAGTATTTATAATAACAAGATATTTGTAAACATGTATGCCCCCTATTGGCAGCCAATTATTCATGTGGTCAGGTTATTATGGCTGACTTCTGAACTAGTAACCAAAAAATCAATAAGGGTTAATTACTGGGTATGACTAGTCACTAGGTAATTGTGACCGAAAAGGTTGTATGCAGCAATTTTATGACAAAGTTATTTCAAATCTTACCAAATAATATATGCATAAATTTTATGAATCATGTAGGCTTCATTAATGACAGCCAAGTTGTTATATTACATAAGACTTTGAAATGTGTATACCAAAAGGATTTTTAGTTTAACAAGAACGTGTTTGTTAAACACAAATGCCCCCGGCTAAGATTCTTGTCAGTAGCAATATTCAAAAAATGTTTACCCATTCACTCAGTTATGGACAGAAAAATTGCCAAAAAATTGTAAACACAAGTTATATAGCTTGACAAATTCATGACATTTTGTAATTGTGAAAATAATAAGTTGCCAAGTCATTGCTCTGACTTGTGAAGTTGAAAAATATTCACCTTCATGCAAGTTATCTTCCTACCAAATATGAAATACATCTGTCATCAAATAAAGGCTGTATGGGCAAAAGTATAAAAATCTATTTTGAGCACTGGTGACCTTGACCAAACTGACCCCTAACTCTATCCAAAAGAAGAATACCATGTAAGTTATCTTCCTACCAAATATGAAATACATCTGTCAATAAATAAAGGCTGTATGGGCAAAAGTGTAAAAATCTATTTTTAGCACTGGTGACCTTGACCCAACTGACATCTTACTCCATCCAAAGAAAGAATACCATGCAAGATATCTTCCTACCAAATATGAAATACATCTGTCAATAAATAAAAGCTGTATGAGCAAAAGTGTAAAAATCTATTTTTAGCACAAGTGACCTTGACCCACTGATCCCTACCCCAATCAAAAGGATGAATACCATGCAAGTTATCTTCCTACCAAATATAAAACATATCTGTCACTTAATAAAGGCTGTATGAGCAAATGTGTAAAAATCTATTTTTAGCACTGGTGACCTTGACCCAACTGACCACTAATTCCATCAAAGTTTATGTTTCTATCAATTATAATTAACATCTGTCTATAGAATAAGGTCAATACACCTGTAAAAATGTAAAAATCTATTTTTAACATTGGTGACCTTGATATTGGTAACATTGACCTTGACCCAAATGACCCCTTACTACATCCAAAGAAGGAGGACCTCCCTTGGCATGTTTGTATTAAACTAAGACATCAACTAATATAAAGGCTGTATGAGCAAACTGTTTATATTTATTTTTTAAACCAGTGACCTTGACCCTAGAGACCGCTTACTCCACAAAAATTAGAGGATCATCAAAGGTATCCACCTACTAAATATGAAAGATATCATTAAAGAAATTAAGCAATTAGGAGAAATTTAAGATAAATCCAACTTGCTGAAATAGGTTAACCAGACAAGGCCCTATTTTCAAAGTGAAAAACTATATGCCCGGGGGCATAATAAAAAAATCTCAACCAAGGCAACTTGAGTTGTTGAGTTATTGGCCAGAAACAGTCTTTACATACAAGGTCAATATGACCTTGACCTTTGACCCTTAAATCAATGGTTATCTATTGGCCAAGACAAATGCACCTGTGAAGTTTGAAGGTAAAGGGCCCATGAGTTGGGTTATCGATCAGAAAGCGTTGTTACTTATAAGGTCAATGTGATCTTGACCTCTGACCCCTTAACACCAAAAAATTTATTGAGGTCATCATCTGACCAACAGCAATGCATCTGTAAAGCTTGAAAGTCAAGGGTCCATGGGTTGCCCAGTTATTAATAGAAAACAGTTTTGAAATACAAGGTCAATGCAACCTTGAGCTTTGTTCCCCTGACCCCAAAATCATTAGGGGTCATCTACTGGTCAATACTAATGCACCTTCAAAATTTTAGGGCCAACAGCCCATGGGTTGTCAAGTTATTGATCGAAACTGTTTTACCTACAAGGTCAGTGTGACCTTGACCTTTGACCCCTTAACTCCAAAATCAAAAGGGGTCATCAGCTGGTCATGAACAATCATCATACCAAGTTTGAAGTTCCTAGGCCTGAGTGTTCTTTAATTATTGATTGGAAATCGTTTTTTTCCTACAAGGTCAATGTGACCTTGACCTTTGACCCCTTGACTCCAAAATCAATAGGGGATATTTGCTGGTCATGAACAATCATCAAACCAACTTTGAAAGTCTTAGGCCTAAGCGTTCTTTAATTATTGATTGGAAATCGTTTTTTTCCTACAAGGTCAATGTGACCTTGACCTTTGACCCAAAAATCAATAGGGGTCATCTGCTGGTCATGAACAATCATCAAACCAAGTTTGAAGTTTCTAGGCCTAAGGGTTCTTTAGATATTGATCAGAAACTGTTTTTACCTACAAGGTAAATGTGACCCTGATCTTTGATCCCAAAATCAATAGGGGTCATCTGCTGGTCATGAACAATCATCAAACCAAGTTTAAGGTTTCTAGGCCTAAGCCTTTTAGTTATTGATCGTAAACTGTTTTTACCTACAAGGTAAATGTGACCTTGACCTTTGACCCCTTGACCCCAAAAATCAATAGGAGTCATCTGATGGTCATGAACAATCATCAAACCAAGTCTGAAGTTCCTAGACCCAAGCCTTCTTTAGTTATTGATCGGAAACCATTTTTACCTACAAGGTAAATGTGTCCTTTGACCCCCTTGACCCCAAAATCAATAGGGGTCATCTGCTGGTCATGAACAATCACCAAACCCAGTTTGAAGTTTCTAGGCCTAAGCCTTTTTTAGTTATTGATCGGAAACCATTTAACCTACAAGGTAAATGTGTCCTTTGACCCCCTTGACCCCAAAATCAATAGAGGTCATCTGCTGGTCCTGAACAATCACCAAACCCAGTTTGAATTTTCTAGGCCTAAGCGTTTTTTAGTTATTGATCGAGAACCGTTTTTTACCTTCAGGTCAATGTGACCTTGACCTTTGACCCCTTGACCCCAAAATCGATAGGAGTTATCTGCGGGTCATGAACAATCATAATACCAAGTTTAAAGTTCCTGGGCCTAAGCATTCTTTAATAATCACTCGGAAACTGTTTTTACCTACAAGGCCAATGTGACCTTGACCTTTGACCCCAAATCAATACGGGTCATCTGCTGGTCATGAACAATCATCATACCAAGTTTGAAGTTCCTAGGCCTAAGCGTTCTTTTTGTAATCACTCGGAAACCATTTGGTCTAGGGACCGACAGACAAATGCAAAGCAATATACCCCCACTTCTTTGAAGGGGATCGGTCATAATAATAATAATTATATAAAGGTCAATGACTCAAAATTCAACATTTTGAACAGCAGAGATCTGCCGAGGACGCGATTTTGTGCCATTGGCGCTAAAAAAATAGAATGGCGCAGGAAAATCGGCAGCAAAGGGCCATGGGCGCATCTAAAATCTGTGCCAGACTTATAAGGAAACAAAACTGTCTGCTGGGTTATGAAGTCATCCAGTCAAAACTGGTACCAACAGCAACATGTTACCCATCCCCCTGTCATTACGCATATTCTTGAGTTTATCCATTCCCCTTTAGTGTCCAGCTTTATTTGTCATCCAATGAAAACGCTGTATTTCTTAAAAATTATGTGTGTTAATTTTCATAGAAGAACAAAGTCGATACTATATTGAAATCCGTTCATAGCCGCCTTCTATTTTTCATAGTGCTTCATAGTACCGCGTAGTGACGTAATCAAGGGCCAAATAAAGCTTGACACTAAATATGTTAGTGTTCATCCTTAGCTGTTCTACAGAAATTTGAAACATTCTCCTGTCGCTATCGCTCCTGTCCAAGTTTCTAATTTCTGTAGAACAGCACGAATGAACACTAACATATACATAGCCTTTGTCCATGTTATCTACTTACCGCATTTCTTCTCATAATCCCTTTCCCACACAGATACTCATTTCTACTACGTAAATTTAATCCAATAAAGAAAACTAATTATACAACTACTTAATATTTAAAATGATTATCGGTAACCAAAAAAAAGTGTTGCTATTTTAAGAAATGCTGTAAGTTACAGTATAATCTGACTCGTGTACAACTTGATCACCCCAAAGGTCACTCAAGTTCACGCAAGCTTTGGCTGATGAAGTGTAAAAAAAGATGTCTATTTCGTCATCAGAATATTTGACAGGGTGATTAACCAATCAGGGAAATATTGTGCATGACTTTTTTCATGATCAAAAGGTCTGTCGGCAAGTGTCTTTCATGGTCTTTGATGTATGCTGTCTACACAGAGGCATACAAGGGGCAATAAAATTCGTCAATATACTGTGGTAAGGGACATTTGGTGCAAAGTAGGAACAATTAAATGGATAATGCACAGTATAATAGACATTAGAAGTAAGAACCAGCAATTATGTGAATAAATTTGCATATCAAATTTTTGAGCAGCCATTTAAAAAATATTTTGCCTGCAATTAATATTAGTTAGAAAGTTACCATGTAGGCATAATTTTTAATTATTGGTCAAGTACTGAATCATAAATGAACCACTTGTCATAAAATATGATTTAAGTTTTATTACCAGGGAAATTCAATTATCTACAAACTTTTTAACAGTTATTTAAGTCAATGTTTACTTATTTTCCCAAGGCCCATACTTTGGTAAAAATGGCCCAGGGCCCAGTACTTTCAAATTCTTGGCAGATCTCTGGAACAGCTTGTTTATTTTCTTATTAGCATGTAACTACATGTATCACATAACCCTACTTTAATGGTGTTTAATACTGAAGAATGTTTTCTTTTTAAAGAAATTGAATGCATGCAAGCAG